AATAAGAAAAGGCGAACTGCATGTCCTCAGAGTGACGAACGCGGTGGGCTGATGTCTTGTCAAACTCCTCGGGGAATCTGAAGAAAAACAAGAAAGAGTTGAAAAAAAAACAACTTTGCTGATAACTTTAAAAAACATTAGGAAAAGGCTCACTCACATGTCTTGCAGCTCCTGCATGACGAGCCGGTCGATCATGTGAGGCATGTGCGCGGGGACTTTGCGGGACGTGAACCCAAACTGGCTGTTCAGCAGCTTGTTGACGTAGCGCAGCGAGTCGGCAAAAGTGTCCCGCAGCCTTCTAGCAGCGGCGGCACCGTCGGCTTCATACGACAGTTCTCTTTGCAGACGCTCCCCCTCCTAGAGACACGAAGAGAGTCATAATTAAAGCTCCTGAAGATGCTGCGAGGTGAAACAAATTGATTTACAGGAACAGCCTTCATTTATTAATAATAATAATAATACATTTTCTTTAAAGGCGCCTTTCAAAACTCTCATGGTCACCTTACAGAGCAGAGATAAAAACAACAAAGTAACAACACAACAATAAAATTAACATTAAAAATACAAAAAACACAAATGTACAGGATGTAGAGGAGTTATGAGAGCGGGTGGAGAATGATCAGACTGAATAAGCCCGTTTAAAAAGATTTTGAGATGAGATTTGAAAATGGAGAGCGAGTCGATATTACGGATTTGTGGTGGGAGGGAGTTCCATGTAAAAAAAACAAAAAAAAACTTGATGAGAGATACATGTGACTGTTAAAATAGAGCAGGATATGATTTTGGGTTAAAAACACACACAGAGGACGGGAATCAGCAAAAAAAAGATAAAAAGGTACCACATTGTCCACAGCTTTAGCCAAATCAACACAAACCAAAACAAAGCTCCTCACAGGAAGTGAAAAATCCCGCCGTACCTCAAGCAGCTCTTGGAAGTATTTCCTCCTCTCCCACGGCAGGAAGCCTCTGTCCGCGGAGACGAAGTGTTGGAGTCTCCTCATGACCGGACCTCCTCCTCCTCCAGGAGCAGCAGCAGCAGCGTCCGCCGGTTCTGCCTGATTCTCCGCGCTCTTGCCTTTTGAAATGCTGCCCAGCAGTTTGGAAATAGCCGGCCGCTCGATTGCAGTGTTCAGTTTGTATTGTTTGGGGGTTACGGGGTCGTTCATGTGCTGGTCATCGATGTGGAGCGGGATGAGAGGAGTGACAGTTTGCTTCTTCACAGCGTCTTCATTGTTTCCAGTTTGCGGCTGTTTTCCTTCCAATCGCTCTCCCTCTAAGTCTTTATGCGGCTGTGCCTTGACTTTTGCCGCACTTCTGTTTTCTGGAGGTGGATCTTTTGCCTCCGGCTGTTTTTCATACACTTTTAAAATTTCCGCCTTAGTGAGGTTATAACCCTTCATTGTGATGTCACCGATCAGAAGCCTCTCCTCCAGTTTCTGCAGCTCTCTGCGCACCGCAGCAGGGAGCAGCGACACGTTCAGCGCCGGAACTTCTATGACAACTTCAGGGTCACCGGGCTGCCTCTTCAGGACCTTGGGACCCCGCTTGTGCTCGGGAACGTCCGAGAACGGAAACACGGGCTCCGGCGTCGGGGTGGGCGTCGGCTCTTTGCCCGCGTCTTTGCTCTTCGCCTGGGAGACGTTAGCCTGAGGTACGGCGCGGGTGTCGACGGCGACGGTGAAGCTCATCGAGAACTCCGTGTCGTCCTCTCTCTGGAAGGTGAGGTTGTACTGGATCTGCGAGGCGTTGTGGCCCGAGTGGAGGAGCAGATGGATGGTCCTCCACTTGTTGGCGACGGAGGTGTGGCGTACGGCGCCGCTGTCGCTGACGTGGGCCTCGGACACTCGGCGCGCTAGTTTGGCGAAGCTGAAATACGGCCGCGTCTCGCCAACTGGGAGGGTGTAGAGGCTCTGATTCTTCAGCAGGGTCACCCGGTGCAGCTCGCCAAAGTGCTCTGTCACAGAAATATGTTCAGGTTAGGAATGACGCTTACAATATTCAAACTCTTTTTGTTATTAACAAACAAATCCTATTATAAGATCAAAACCAAAAAGTAATTTAGAGCCTGAGATCGGGTGTTTGAGCTTTTCAGTGAAATGGATAGTGGGTTTATTTCAGCCGTGGATTAATCCTCATTTGGAGCAATAGTGAGAATAGTGCATGTTGGGCAGAGTCAAAAGAAACCATGGACATTAGGGAACATGTCACTCAGTGTAGCTGTGTTTCGAGCTGCTATATTTTAAATGTTTTTTGAATAATAATGGAGCTCAGCGGGCCCAAAGAAAAAAGACTTTAACCTGACGTCTCTCAAATTGTGTATTTTGGGAACTTTTACTCACACATGCATAAAACTGCAGAGTAAGCAGCATGTGTGTACGCAAACGTTTTTTCCCCCCTGACCATTACCCAGACTTTCTTCTGCTAGTAAACATTCAGCGCTAAGTGAGAACGCGGTGGGAAATATTGAGGGGAAATTCACTGCGAGCGTGCCGGAGGGGGGAGGGGACGGCTTTTATATCCTGCAACTGGCCGTGAATTTGTTGAACTGCATATAGCAATATGATATAAAGGCCCACTCCTTTTTTATATCATGTCCTACCTCCTGAGACCCGCCCCCACCCCCTCGCCCATAAGGGATGGCCTCCTGCTGTGAGGGACATGTGTGAAAAAGCAACTCCGGAAGATTTTTAAGGGCAGCCTTCTTGAAATTTCTCGAGAGTGCATGTGTGAAAACGGCTTCATTTCTTGGTTTTAATATCATTTTTGGGACTTTCTGATTTAGTAACATTGTTGGGGCTTTCACTGACATGTTTTTTTATTACAAAGCTACTGAGGGAAGAAGATATCAACATGTTTTAAGTGGACTTACCCGTGCCACAGTCTCCCACATCATACCCACAGGTGAGAACATTGCAGGCTTGGTCACAGAACTTGTCCGCGAGCCAGGAGTTAGCGCAGCCTTGATTACAGTACGACGTCCCTCCTAGACCTCCTAGACCCCCTGCAAACTGCCACACCTGTCCACCAGCTCCACCCGGCCCCCCGCCACCAACCCCAGCTGCAAAGCGACTGTTCCCTGCGGCACCTGTCAGAGAGAAAAAAAAAAAACGAGCGTCTAAGATGTGAAGTAAACTAATGAGCTTGTTGATACAGAAGAGGTGATGCTGTTGATGATGTCATTACCATGGCAGTCTCCACCGTCCCAGTCACAGGCAGAGTTGTTGCAGGCTTTGTCACAGTACCCGTCTTTGATCCAGGATCCGGGGCAGCCCTCAGCACAGTTTGGGACAGGCCAGGTAAGATACACCTGTAAGGAAGTGAGGAAAGTACGGGTTAATGATCCCTTTTGGAGCCCTCAAAAGAACCCAGAATGAGGGGATTTGGCGTTGCATTTTCACACCTTCTGTCCTTTGGAGTGGCTGTAGAAGTCATCCGGCCAGACCTCCTTACCGAACATCACGTCGTCGTTGAGGTAAATGAACTTTTGGGAGAGCCCCGGGATGCGGTGGATGTGGGTCTCGATGGCAGGCGAGCTGAAAGTGGGAAGGTGGCTGTGGTTCTGGAAGACATCCTGGAAATGAAAAAATGAGAAATGATGCTGTTTTTTAAGAGCTAATTTAAAAGTCCCAAAGCCTTTTCAGAGTGCACACATAAAAAGACGTTTGTATAACAGAGATGTAACCTGGTGCGTGATGACCGTCACTCTGGGGTTATCCAGGTTTAGCCACGAGGGAATCTGCCCGTTGGTTACTATGAAGATGTGTCGCACCCAGGGGGCGTGTCTCTCCACAGAGCGCAGCGAGTAGCGGAGCTCTTCGTTGTCTTCAAATCGACTGGCGGACACATCTTCATCCTGTTTGGACTGGAGTCAAGAATGAACATTTGCACTGTGTCTCTACCTCGCACTGTAGGGACTCTAACAACATGTTCTTGTTTACGTGTCACAGAGAGGACTTCTGATCCCACACACACACACTTACACAGTTTGCTATTCTTGTGGGGACTTCAACGACACAGAACTTCTTGTTTGCCTAGCATTGTGTGGACCTTTTAAAACACACACTTTCTGGTTTACAGACAGTGCGGGGACCTTAACTGTTTTAATATTGTTTAACTCACACACACACGTTCTGGTTTACCCATCGTTTTGGGAGCTTTACTCCAAAATAGTTTCTGTTTTGCCTATCACTGTGGGGACATAAAAACCGCACACAACTTCTGGTTTACCTATCATTGTGGGGCCTTTGAGCCACACACTGACACACACACACATTCAGTAGGTCGCTGACACTGCCAGGATTATTATTTAATAACGGTAAGCGATAATAAGAGCGTGTCATACCTGTGAGATGGCAGTGAGGTCCCAGAACAAGTAGGCAGGGCTGATGGTTAACTCTTTTCCATCCAGGGTCAGGTTCTTCTTCGCCTGCTGGGTCAGGTCGGTGAAGTCCTGCGGGGTTTTCAGGTGAAGCAGGGCGATGCTGGCCTCAGAGTACAACTCAAACTGAGGGACAAATAAAAAAATAAAACATGAGTGTGTTAATTGCTTGATAGAAAACTCAAGTAATTTTCCCTTTATTTGAGATGTTGGACTTACAGGAGACAGCTTCAATAAAAATAAGAATAAAAACGGGCGCTGGTGAAGTTTTTGAAGATTCCCCGACTTTCTAAAGAAGTTCTAAATATGGGGTTAATCTCCAACAGGCTGAATACTACATTTCCCATAATGCAACTCATTATCCACATTTTTTTAATGCATTTAACCAGGAAAGCCTTTTTGAGGTTTTATAAGAGTGTCCTGGCCAAAAGGTAAACACACTAAAATGTTGAGTTTGTGATACAACTCTTGACCTTCAGTATGACCCAGATTGCTTCTAATGTTCGTTTCTAAGCCTAAAGTTCAAGCTCCCATCAGCAGACATCATCTCGTCTGCGTGTAGTTAGCCCACCATCGTCTGCATGAGAAAAAAGAAGCCACGTTCAATACACTGTGGGAACGTCTGAAACACCAACTTCTCAGGGTTTAAGTCACTTTTTTAGGGACGTGGATCAGCCGCGGTGCCAAGCTTGTGACAGAAACCTTCAGTCGATCATTGAGCCCAGACGATGTCAACCTTTGGTCCTGCAGCAAGAGAGGGCATATCCAGCTATGATGCTCGTGTGGAGGCATGCACTGGCTGCTGAAGCACAGGAGTTCATGTGTGTGTGTGTTTGTGTGTTTGTGTGTTTGTGTGAGAAGAAGTGAGAGTTTGAATATTTCTGTGATGTCATTTTCTCCATGGAGGTCACATGAGAGTGGCTCCCTGTCTAAAGCCAGGACTGCTATGTGAAGCATTGGTGGACTGTGTGTTGTGTATGTCTGTGTGTGTGTGTGTGTGTGTGTGTGTGTGTGTGATGCATGAGAGAGAGAGAGAATCCCCTGGCCTTGCCCATTTCAAACCATCTGCCCCTGCCTCTCTCTCATCTTTTAAACTGTAAGCCTGCCAGGAAAAGACTCACCCCATCGCAACCCCCCCATCATCCAAAAATGAACCCAAGCACGAGCTGTGCCTCCACTCGGTCGTTTTTTGTTTTTAGGTGAGGAGGATTAGCTGTGTCTTATGAACCCAGCGGGGAGCAGCCAGGAGACAGCAAGCCGGGGATCACATTGCTCCTCTTTGTTATAGCTCTCTTTATAGTCCTGATAATGCTCGAACACATGCACACAGAGCAGAGGTGTGCGGTGGCCTCACACAGGCACGTGGCCTTATTAACCACTAGAAAGAGTAAACAACTATATCCCCCCCCCAAACATGACATCAGGCTGATGTCATAAATAATCTGATAAAACTTCACAGATCATAGTTACAGGTAACGAGGATGAACTGAGGATACGTGTTAAATAATAAGTGCAGTGTTGATTTTGGCGCCCCCCTGTGGACAAAGCAGTACATCTTCTACATTTCACTTAGCGGACGCTTTTATCCAAAGCGACGTACATCAGAGAGTAAGTACAACACAAGCGAGGATTAAGAGAGGAGGAGACGACGTCAGGAATGCAAACGAACAGCTTCAGACGCTCAGAAGAAAGTATCGTTGCATCTGTCCCTCCTTCAAACTGCATGATATCATTACGTTCTCTGACAAGGCAGTAAAAAAATCTACGCAAAGAAATCGACTGTCCCTTTCCCTTTAACTCTGCCCGCAACTTTTAAAAGAAGAAACAACACCTCCTTCCTCTTACAATTGAATACCTATTTCTGCTGAGTTTGTGTGCCAAAGCGTAAAGCGAAGCGGTTTGTTAAGTTTAAATGACCTCGCTTTTCAAGCAGCATAAAAAGAATTTGAAACAGTATGTGAGGCATCAGGACACGAGGAGAGAAAGAGCACCAGGCAGCAGCACATGAACATGTCCCGTGTGAGTTTGACTTTAGTCACGTCCTAATCTGTGGTCACTGCGGCTTTGTGTGTGACTGCAGAGACAACAGAATGTATAACCACTGTAGAAAATAATTGCGATGATACTCTGGGTAAACCAATTCATTCAGCGCTGAGTGATGTTTTTCAGCAGATGGATGGAGATGTCTGGGTGGTGCCGCTGACCGCAGAATCTGTGTACATACAACAACACACGTTTAAACCCGTCAGCAGGGCTCGTACCCAAATCAAGTGAACGGCAGGACTCTGCGGGGCGGCGGTCCGGGCAGGTGATCGAGGTTGTGGGGCAGCTTTCATCACCATGGCGCTCGCTCCAACACCGGCTATAAATACCGACCGCTCTCTCACCGCTGAACCTCTCCCTCCACACTATGCACATCATCCCTCTTTCACAGAATCCGCCCAGCGACACCAGGAAACACCTTGAAATCCAAACTGTGCATTGTGTGGGGGCATGTGTACCTAGAAATCCCTCCATCCAAACACACACACACACACACACAAACACAAACACACACACACTTTCCATCCCTCACAGACTCACATGTCTCAGAATCACGTCTTCTTTATCACACACATTTTACTTTAATCCTCTTTTCTGGAGTTTTCCACAAAAAGTCAAAAATGGATTCCAGCAGGTGAGGAGAGAAACACACACACCACACACACACACACACACACACACACACACACACACACACACACACACACACACACACACACACACACACACACACACACACACACACACACACACACACACACACACACACACACACACACACACACACACACACACACACACACACACACACACACACACACACACACACACACACACACACACACACACACACACACACACACACACACACACACACACACACACACACCACACACACCACACACCACACACACACACCACACACACCACACACACACACGGTGGAAGGAGGGCGTGTCCAAGAGTGCAGGGAAGGTCAGTCAAATCCTTGTGACCTTTCAGCGTGCCGGCTGGCGCCACGCCACCCCCAAACAGTTGTTCTACTGTTAACCCCCGCACCGCCAGCTAAGGTTACAGCCCTGAATGCCGCCCGTTATTATCACAAGACCTGCCAGGCTTCAGCGCACTCAGCGGAGACCTGGAGACGGGCACGGGACGGACGGGACAACTGGGTGTGATGATGATATGTAGGTTAAACACTGTTAACCTGCATGTCATCATGAGCAGAGAGTCTGTCTGCCCTCAGGCTGCTTCATCACCTGTCTGTGCTCACACTCCTTCATTATGAAGAGCAGCCTTTTCTGCAACGGCACACTTTGAAATACAAAATGACCCCATGAACTGTGAGGGGAGCGAGGGGGGGGGATCTTCTTTAGATACATTAGAAGAAACACAAAAGTATTCATTGTGGGTTACATATCAGTGTATTACATAATTAAAATATTACTGTTATGTAATTCTAACCACTCAGAGTATTATTTATTCTCCAATTAACTGTTCACACACACACACACAGACACACCTCAAAGAACAGCACAACAGAAGAGATGAAGGAATTTGGAGATTGTTTTGCAAAATAAAAACTCTTAAACTGATTCTATTGATCCACTAATGTATTAACAGTCTTATTATCCAGATTCAGACGACTTCATGAAACCTAAAGGGCATAATTCAACATTTAGCCGTACAGTAAACTCAGGTTTTAAGGACTTTGACTTGAGGACATTTTATTTTCCGTCCCCTGAAGAGCTCAGCGACTCTGTAACACCTCTGTGTTGTATTTAGTGAAGACAAAAGAAGTTATCTAATCAGCCGCTCATTAATTCTAATAGCCATGTGAGTGTATTATTGGAAGACGGGACAAACGGATGACTCACGGCGGCCGTCCTGCACCGTGTGCCTGGGGGAGACGGGGTCACTCGCTCGGTTTTGTTTTCTTGATTATTTCAGAGTAATCCGCCCTCGTTAGTGGCATTCCTCGCTCTCAAAATATAAAGCAGAGTTCTGATCAGGGAAATTATTAGATACACAAGACGCCGGCCCGCCGAGCTAAACAGAGGCCACTCATCCATCGCAGCATAACTGATGAAATAGAAGACGGACGCGTTTAGCAGGACAGTCGGACCTCCTCTCCAAGGAGGATTGACATTTGGATCTGATGCTAATAGGATTTATAAAAGATCTAAAAACCTCTATTGTGACACAGGAATATAAAGTGGAGGT